AATTTTAGGATGAAAAACAGGGTTGATTTTAGAGGAGGAAAGGTAAAAATTGCATTAAGAGCATTTATCTTTCACAATTGCAGCAGAATATATAACTAAAAAATCATATGAAATAACAGACTGCAATGAAAGCGCGATACTTAAATGAAAAATTAGCTGTAAAGCAAAGCAAAAAAATAAATAAATAATTTTTTTATGACTTTGTTGGAAGAATAAAGCTAAAAATTAAATTGTATTTAAAAAAACCTCCTACTCTTACATTAAACATATTTTTCATTCTATAGATATTTTTTTTCAAAATTATTTTTATAATATAAGAACGAAGTACGTAAGACGTGGTGTGCATCAACCCAATCTATCCTAAAACAAATCAAACCATATTACAGCTCAAGTTGAAAACTAGCTTACATCTCGAATACCTAATGTTCTTACTAAATAGCATATCAACTAGAGAACCATGGCACTCTCAACAAATAAAAAGTTTCTCAAATTGAGAAAACTAAAATTCTCAGCTCAAGTATAACTTACCGAAAGTTAGAACAAAAAACGAGAATTTTTTTTGACATCAACTTGAGAATTAACAATTTCCCAAAGGTTTAAGATATATTGTACGATGATTGTTGGGCAAGTGCATTACTGGTACGCTGAAAATATGTGAAAAATAAGAATGAAAGCGAATTTACTGAAGCTTTTTATGATGCTCTCCAATTGTGCTACTTTCGCACAAACAACAAACATAACCTACAACATTTTCTCACATTAAAGCTCAACTCAGACTGCGCTCATTACTATTCTTCAAGCGTCAACAATACGGTTGAGAAAGCAAAAAAAAAGAGAATGAGAAGTAAATGGAAGAAGAAAAACAACATAGCAAAGATTGTCGTTGCAGCTGGCTGCAGCATTAAGAGCGGTGGTGGCAGCTACCGAAACTGCAACTGCAGCGGCAAATCTCCGTTTATGACCGACGCTCAAGCTCTCGGCTAAGTCATTTCGTAAAGCAGAAGAACAGAAATTTATGGCGTTGCTATTGAAATTATTATGGCTGCGGCTTTGTTCGAGTTGATCCTTTTGTTGGCGTTCGTTGGCGCTGCGGCAAGAAGCGTAACTCAAATGCCTGGTTGCAGGTTGCAATACATGCCTGACCCGAGCGCTTTGCTGACTACCAATAAAGGTATTTCAGCCGCTTCCTTTTTTCTGGTCTCTATTCGTAGGAATTTCTTTCGATTTCTGCCTCTAACTTCTTCTGAGAGTTATATTACTGTCATTACGCGCGCGATTATCTAGCAAATCAATGCGTTGACGCAGCGGTGGAAGACACATAAAATGCTGGCACACACATATCGATGCAAAGAAATCTTTAAATCGAAAAAAAATTTTTACGACCGCCGCTGCAACTGGTGTGGCAGCTATAATTCAAACCGCACTGATGCTGACCTTTGCATCTCCTTTAGAAATCGACTTGGCAGTTATGTTTCAGTTGACAATTGCCACCATGTTCGCTGTGTCATTCCATTTTTCCATAATACATGGACTTGCAACTTACCTCACTGTGCTGCAGTAGTTTTCCCTCATAATCATTGTCATGCTTCCTTTGTGGGCCGCTGCTGCTGCTTCTTCTTCTTCGTGCACTTTTCATTTGCCTTTCTTCGTATGACGCTGCCGCAGGCGAATGTGTCGTCGTTGTTCACTGCGGTAGGTCATCAACCAAATGAGTAACAACAATGGCAACAACAACTACCGAAAAAAAAACGATGAAAAATATTACAACAACAATGCAGCGTGCTTGTGTTGCAACACAAAGCGTTATGTGTTCCAATTGTTTTGGCGCAGCGCAGTCATCAGCAACACTTTGAATTGTCCAACTTGCCACATAGGGGCTGTGCCACACTGCGCTCTTGTGTTAGTGGTATTTCATTGTATTTTTTTTCGATTTCTCTGCCACAGTTCCTGTTGGATTTTAAGTTTTTGCTCGCTTTGTTACAGTTTCAATTTCAGCATTATGTTAATGAGATTTACTGCAACGCGCCGCGGCAGCAACTGGTTTTAAATGCGCTTATCCCCAAGGGCTCTACCTACCTTTCGCCGCTGCCGCGCAAAGTTCTACACTTAAACAGTTATATTTGTATGAAAATATGTGTGTGTGCGTGCAATTATTTATAAGCATGTCCGTTCGCTTTTGGTAATCACATTTTATTATAATGTTTTCTCTCTGCCTTCAATTTTTTTGTGCTTCGCTCTCAGAAGCTTCGCTCGAAATGCGCGCAGATGTGCGGCAGCCAGCAACTCCACACGCGCATGTGTGTGTGTGTGCGCGCCTAGCTGTCAGCATTGAGGTAATTGAATTTATGCAAATTTCACTGTTACTCACAAACAAAAGGTGTAGTCGCTGTGGCATGGCATGGAAGCTGGTGTCTGCCGGCTCATTGAGCAAGGTAATCAATGTTAGGCCGGATGTTGCATGAATGTGTCTGTCTTGCTGTTGCTTAGCAGCTACTTTCGCATGGAAATTTCTATGTTTTCCGTTATGTGCTGTGAAAACCTGGTGTGCATTGACATTTGTCTTAATGAAAATTTCTGATGCAAATAGGAGCTGGCAGCTGTGTTGTTAGGAGTTTTCAAAAGAAATTTTCATTATATTATGAAGAAGTGAAAAGTCTGAAGGGTTGCTGCTATGAGGCGTATATGACCTTTGTCTCTTCTCAAGGGCAAGGTAATGTATGAGTTTTGATTGAATATTTGCTTTCGAATTCTTATGTAAATTAACTTCTGCTGTGAAAGTTTCTTAGAAAGTTGAAAATAATAACACATTCGATCCTTTTTTAATAAGATAGCTACTTATGAGTTCTATATAGCTCAGCTGATATTCAAAGCAGTAGCGTATTATCATAAAATAACTATAAATATTAAATTGATATAATTTTTCTCTACTTTTTGTTGAGCTGTCGCAGTTTAAACAAACAGCCATTACAATTGCAAACATGTAAAAAAGTTTCTCGTTAGTAAAAAAACATTCGATAGGCGACGCTGTGTTCAAAATATATCAAATTGTTTAATATTTTACAGATGACGCTTATACATTAACCGAAAACTGTTTATAAATAAAACAAATAATTTATAAAATGCGTCTTTCTAAAGACATTTAGCACTAACTTTGATAATTCGGGCGCATAAATATAGTTCCATCATACATAAAACTTCAATACCGTCATCGCGTGTTGCGCAAAATATTTTTTACATTTTCCATGCCAATAAAAACCAGTTGAAAGTCACAGCATGCTAGAGTACGTAACAGAGTTTTTAATTAAAATTAATTTCAATCCGCGGAACAGCAAAAGATATGGCGGTCGCTTCCTGTACAGCGGCGATTCGATGAGGTCACTGTCTTTATTAGAATCACGACGCTGATTTAATGTCTGTACATATTATATTATGTATATATATATATTATTTTATATAAAATTGTATGTAAAGCGTTCATTACAGCTATTTTTATCTCAAGTTCAAACTTAGAACCGCTCATTACTAAATTGATGCATTAAAATCCAGCTAAAACAAAAGACGCGTCATAAATCAATTTGATAGTTGTTGCTACTTGTTGTTGCTTTTTTAATCGCGCTGACTTTGTACCGTTGTGAAACTACAATAAATCAAAGGCCGAATAGAGCTAGAAAAATAAAGAAATCAAGCAGCTGAATTTGCGCTATAAAAAACCTTCAAACAAAGCACCAGAAAAAATGCCAGAAAAGAAGCAAATTTGTGTAGAAGACACGCGTGCGGGCAGGCGCGCTGAAAGAATGCGTGTGCGTGCTAAAAAGGCGGTGCTCAGGCGGGTCGCACCGCGTCTCCAGTAGGCGCGCATATAATAGACAATATGTAGCTGCTGTAAAGCACCTCAGCACCTTTGTTTGCCCCTTTTGGTCGTCGAACAAAAAGCGCTGAGGCCGAACGCCAGCGCTAAGCTCACCAACTTACGACAAATATATATGCGTTTGTGTGTGTGTGTGCATGTGCTTACAAAAACATCCCAAAGCGAATTGAGTTGTTAAGCTGAATGATGTGTTGCCGCACCTAGCAGCCATAGTTGGCGATAGGCAACAAAACAAGGGCAATAAAAAAAGTACAACAAATTAAAAGTAGTAAAACCGTAAAATGCAAGTTAAGGCAGGGAAAAGCTGGCACAACAACAAAAGCACACATCCACAAAAAAAATAATAATAAAATTGTAACAGCAGCCGTGGCTTAACCCCTTTCGGTCCCATCAAATGTGGCTGCTGCTTCGTCTACCGCTGCCATCAGTGCGTTGTAAATCATTCGCTTGCGGCGTATCATGGCAAAAAGTCAAACGGAATATTAGGCAATAAAAGTGTAAAGCTGCAGCGACACACTTAATAAAAATGTTAAAGGCCACTAAGTAATAAGCGCAGGCTGACAGATTGCTGCATTCAAATTGCTTCAATTTAAATGCTACAATTTTTTTTTTTTAAACTGCTCCGCTGCACCTCTGCTAATGGCAGCGCATTTACTCTAAATGCAGGAGGGCCAGTTGTGGAAAATTATAATTAGAATTACAACTCAAGCGTTATTTTGTGTTGTTGATGGGCGACTGATGAGATTTTGCTGTTTTCTGTGTAAATTTAGTCGCTGACATATTATTGTTGTTGCAGCGCTGTCTGCTACGTTGTGTGTCAAATGATGAGATTTGCGTATTTTTAACTTCTGATAGCGAATATAGTGGATGGATTTAATACACAAAATTTTAGTTTTAAAACACTTTTGAATCTCCAGAAGTCTTAAAGTTATATATGTATAATATTTAAAAAAAATATTTCTATAGATATTATTCATAATTTTCAGAGCCAGAATATTATTTTTTTTTGTTTTGCATTTATTAAGTAATTTCTTACGTTTATTCTTTAGCTCCAATACTTTGTTTCATATAAACTTTTCAAAAAGTCAAGCGTTTTCTCTGTTTATTTATTATCTTCTCTCTTTTCTTACAGTTTGTGCAAGATTGGCATCACTGCATGGATTTTGAGGATTGCAAAAATGTAAGTTTATAACAAAAAATATTAATTTTAAGTATGTGGCGGTCAAATGAGCCACGCTTGCGGTTAAAAAATCGGCAAAACTATATAAGGCATTCGAAAACCACTAACAAATTGAGATATATGTATATATAATATAACTAAAATTTTTCGGTTCTGAGACTGGTTTAAATAAACAATAATCAATATTTCGATTAAGGAAAATAAATTTATAAATCAAATTAATTTTTATGATGTTAAAAAAAATTTCTTAAAATTTATAAAAATTCTATTTTTTTATTTTTTATCATTTTGAGCTTCATTTGACGTTGAAAAATATTTAATACGGTTTTGAAATTAGTTTCAAAAACTGTTTTTTTTTTTAATTTTCGATTTTTTATATTGTATATTTTTAATATTTTCTCATATTAAAATTGCCATTAAAAAAAGCTTACAAAGCTGGCTTGTTTGACTAGTTTAATCTTTAAATTCAGAAGCACAAACAACTGACAAAGCAAATTACTTAGTATTTTCATATATTATTGATATGACGCATAAAATATATTTTATGAGACTAATAATTTGTTTTGGTACTAGTTTCTTGTATCTGACTAAATTATTTATTTATTTATTAAAATAATTATTACATTCATTTTAATGTGTCTAACATGCCACACGTGTACATAAATGTCATCCTTAGTTGTTATTATAATCATAGCTGTCATTAATGTCATCGCATCATACATTTACTCCACAAACCCCAGCATCTCACTGTACATTTCTGATATCCACCATATTGCATTACACTATATACTCATATATCACTTATTATTACTTGGTCTCACTTAACCCCTAGCAACTCGGTCACACTTGCGCTCTCCTTCACTCACTCTTCCACACAATCCTGTCATGTATGTATAAAACTAGTTGTAGCTACGTGTATGCCTGTAAAATTTTATTATCCTTAAAGTTAGCGCGTCCTATAAAAATCTGCTTGCACTTGCCTCGAAACTTTAGCATTCCCGCGCATACAATGCTGTCTTGTCACTTTGTGCCACAGCTGTTAGCGCTCAGCTGTGTTGGCTCCCAAACGCGAAAACTTATGCGCCGCGTTAGTTGCATTTAATTAAGTATTTAATTTTAACTACCTTTTTATTATACTTTCGCCGTCTTGTCGAGGCCTCTCGTTGCCAACAACTCCACCACATTACTCTCCGGGTTTTAACTGCCTCTTTAAACAAACAAATCGTGCCGTTGCATACAGTGTTGCCTCTCTCTCTCTGCGTGCAGTTGTAGTTGCATACTCGCATTGTACTTACTATTTACAAGGTTGCTTAATTTAATTAGCTAGGAGGTAGTTGCGGACCTGCCCCATTTCCCGCCCATAAGCTTTTGCATCCGCTAGTCGCACCGACTTGCGGCTTTGTTTAACTTTTTCCCCACTTCCATTGCGCACACATACACGCGCGCACTTGTGTTTTTGTGTGCTTAAAGTCGTGCGGCAGTGATTGTTGCAAGTCAGCCTACTAACTCTCCTATACTCCCACACCTCCCTGTGTGTGTGTGTGTGTGTATATGTATACGAACTACCCCTTTTCGCAATATTTTATGACTTTCGTCAGTCGTGACTGAATTTTAGTGCTGCCGTGGCGCAAACTGTGGCAGCAGGGGATGTTGCAAGTATTAGGCTGCACTTTGGAGTGCATAGTTGTTGTATGAGTGCTGTGCATATATGTGTGCAGCTTTAATGCACCGAGTGCCTCAAATATTTAATGTAAGTGTGTATTAAATACGGTTTCTTCTATTTTTTACGAAAAGTATTGCAAATAGGCGAATTGTGCAAAGTGAAATAAGAGAGCTTTCTTCAGCGAAAAACCGTAGTAGATAATAAAGAGCGACCAGCAAACTGCCGCCTTTTGTTGGTTTTCTTCTTTCAAGCCTTTTAATTAAACTAATTAAAATCATGTAACGCTGCTGCAGCTGTCATTGTAAGGGGGGGTGGTTGTGCTGTGGAAAGTAATCATTTCACTACTTATGCTCATAAATCAACAAAGCAGAGTTGCATTTGCTGCACCGTACCTTTTACGATTGTGAGCGTCGCTATTTTTGTGCACCGTTTTTTCCTTTTCGCTCATTTCATTTTGACTTTCTTGTGCTTTGTGGCCGGGTATCAATTTCATTGCCCTCGAGTTTTTCGCTTTTTTGTGTTTTGTTTTCATTTATAAAGCTAATAAACCTTAAGTGCCGAAGTAGTGCCTTCGGAGTGACAGAAAAATGGTAGTGACGAGTGTGTTGCAAGTGTGTGTGACTGTTTGTCGCTCACATGAGCGCTTGAGTGTGCTTGGCGTTCCTGTTTTAAGTTCTTTTACACACAGCTCACTTGCATTGCGCTAGGCTAATCAAGCGTTGTGGCAGCCAGGCAAAAGTCGCCGCATCATTCTGCTTTCATTAACCTTTGCATTCATACTCACTGCATTATTCTCTTTCTTCTACAAGTTTTTCGCATATTTTTTGTTTTTTTTTTGTGTAAAGTTTTTTGTTAGTAAAAAGCAATTGACACTTGTGCCGCAGGCATATCGCAACATAAGTGACGAATAGCGACGTTGCAGTGTCGGACGTCAGCGCAGTGGCAGTTCGCGGTGCTGTTGCCAGTAGGGTTGCATATGTGTCCAAAGCTTATTTGCATTTCGTCTGTATGCATGTGTGTACGTACATAGGTACGATCACCTTTGCACACTTCATTTTGTTTTAATCGTTGTGTGGTGGGTAAAAAAATTAAATATCAAAGGCAAAAGTTGCCGCCAAAGGTTTTTAAGGATTAAAGTAACAAAAAACAAAAGAAAAAATACAAAAACCGAAAAAACAATTTTATGACACAACATTAATGAGAGAAAACAAAAAATATTGAATTAGCATTTTATATATGGTATTTTCCTAGAAATATATGTTTGCGCTACAAAATATATTTTATATACATATATAATATATATACATACATATGTATGATTTAAAACTTTTTTATTTGTTCGCTTTATTTTTATAATTTTTTTATATTTTTTTTTTAGAAATTTCTAAACCTTTAACCTCCAAACAAATTTTTAATTTTCTATATTTTTTATTTTCAATCCTCACATACACACATATGCCTGGCATTATTTCGAAAATAAGCAATTTTAAACTGAATATATCAAAAGTGGCACGTACAGCGATTTCTCACGTGCCGCCATTGCCGTCATAAGCTGTCATAACCCCAAACTATAAGGTGATTCATGGCAACAGCCCTTTAAATAAACTCTGGCAATTTTATTGCCTATATGAAATTTATTTTTTGGCAACATTTCATGGCTTTTTTTAACACACTACACACATTACGCTGAACACACAAATGTACATAGCACATATCAGTGGCTGTGGGTATGGACATGCCGGCCATTTTTCATTGCTGTTGGAACTGTAGACGCCATAGTATTTATGCCTAAGTGGCATATATTTTATGCCAATCACACACACACTGACTCTGTGGCATGTGTATTGCGACTTAACGCCGCAGAGCTGGCAACATAGCACAGCTTGTACATATGTACATATACATATGGTATATGGAAGGCAGCACACATACGTGGCTTTACACTTTTCCAACAACACAAAACAAATCAATTTTCTGTCGAATCTTTGTAAAAAACAAAAAGCTGTGGAAAATTGTGTAAAAAGAAAAAGGGAAAACGGCGAAGCGATCCACTACAAGTTGTGCGAAAGAAAAGCAAACCGTAATGCAATTTATTTATTATTGTGGCATGCTTCCACCATACAAAGGGCAAAGCGCAAAGCCGCACAGGAGAGGAAAAGTGATGTTGGCGTGGAAAGATAAATACTGTAGAGCGGAGTTGGGGGTTTCGAACTGTCAAAATTACTCCAATTGCCACAGTACCAACTCAATGAAATGAGCCTGCAACGCAACCTCAAACATACATAAACATGGTACGTATGTCCACATATATATACGTATACTACAGCTTTCTATCTGCCATTCCATTCATCCGTCGATAGTGTGGCAGTCGTGCGCCGGTCGACTGCTCGATCGATTGCCGGCCTATATTTTTCGGCTTTACGCTTTTCGTTGTTTTTCCGCTTCGCCATTGTGTGTTGACATAATAAAATATGCATTTTTCCGTTTTTGCAACAAACGAAAATGAAATGAAAACCGAAAACGTTGCACAAAGCAAATGTTGCAACATAGCGTTGACTGGCATAACGGCCTGGCAGCGGCGCACAAACAAGCCAACAATGAGCCGCAGCCCAAAGCTAACTTACAACATTTACTCGCACGCACACATACATACATCTGCATATGTGTGTAACTGCACATCGATTGCAAATCAGCAAATTGAAAAAAGCGCCACAAAGTAAACTCACACCGACAGGAAGCAGCCGAAAAGCGCGCAAAAAAGCGACAGAAGAAATCGTTGCGGCAGCGGAAGTAAAGAAAAGTAAAACGAACACGAGAAAGTGGAGAAATGTCAACAAGAAAAAAACAAAAACAAGAAAAACGGTGGAAAATTTGGGTCAATTGAAAATTTATCGACCAAGCCGATTGCCAGATTTGTGCCAATACATACACACACACTCACAGACTTACATGTGGCAGCCACAACATGCCGCGCGTCACCGCTTACCGCTCATCGTGCACCTTGCAAACCAAAAGCGGCGCTTACTTACTATGCACACTTATTTAAGCCAGTTATGCAACAGCAACAACAACAAAAACTGTTGTGCTTTATTACAATGCCACAGCAGCGCTGTTTATGTCGATGGCTGCCTCGTTGATGGCAAGTAGAGCGTGTGTTCGGCAATAACGCCGTGTGTCGTCCTTTGTTGGCGCGGCCAGTGGATTTGTGGCAAACGGAAGTCTGCTTGCACTGTCATGTGCAGCGCTTTTGCCAGCTCTTTCTCGATATGTGAGCGATCTGCTCTGATTCACCAGCCATGTGGCAAGGACATAGCTATATCATTGTGCTGAGTTGCAT